CATTTGATCCACTTTGTCTAATTCACTGATATTAACTAAGCATTTTCTGAATTAGTTTCTGATGTGCTCTGTGTTACAGCGGTTCAGGGTCAGCGTGGCTGGGGAGTGACTTACACTGCTACTGAGATCTGTGCAGTGAAAGGATCAACAGTGGAAATAAGCTGCAGCTACAGATACCCATCTAGAATAAATGGCCATGAAAACACAGTACAGAAAACCTTCTGGTTTACTCAGAAGAAAAATGGTGAACTTGTAGATCTGAGAACAGCCTCAGAGTATGCAGGTCGTGTAGAGTATCGCTTTGAAAACAACAGATGCACTCTGAGAATCAAAAACCTGAGAGAGAGCGACTCAGCTGAGTACTGGTTCAGGTTCATAACAAACTACGATACATATAGTGGTTCACCAGGAGTCACTTTGTCTGTCACAGGTAACTTTTTTCAATATAAATGTTAAATTTGTACTGTGCTGTGAAGGTTTGATAAAGAACTTAATGTGATATTTCCAGAAATGGAAGTTTTCCAACCTAATCCTGCTCAGTGTGTGTTAGTGTGTGTGTGTGTGTGTGTGTGTGTGTGTGTGTGTGTGTGTGTGTGTGTGTGTGTGTGTGTGTGTGTGTGTGTGTGTGTGTGTGTGTGTGTGTGTGCGTGTGTGTGTGTGTGTGTGTGTGTGTGTGTGTGTGTGTGTGGTTGATAATGTCTCTATTTTATTCAATAGCTACTATATAATGAACCATGGGCTGAAACAAACACCCATTATAGATGCTGTGAATGCTTTGGGGTATTTATATGAATATAAATCATTATTATTTAATTTGTTGTTTCCTTCTCAGATCCAGATCTACTGGTCGAGGTCATCGGAAAATCAATAGTCCACCAGGGTATTTCCAAAGCAGAGCTTCAGTGTCACAGCAGATGTATTTTACCTCAAGACCCTTCCTACATCTGGTTCAAGAACGGACAGAAAATTCGGGCAGAAACATCTTCTTTTTCAGTCTATTCTTATTCAGCTGACAGCTATTCCTGCGCTCTTAAAGGACATGAGGATTTCCCGTCTCCTTCACAGTGTGAGTTTACTCCACAGTCTTTCACTAACAGAACACCATGGCACAATGATTACAATTACTTTGAATATCAATAAACCCACTTCCCCTTTTTATATTAAGTTTTTATTTTTGGCCCCTCGCTCTCCAGGATCACTTCTGCTTTAAGTAACTCAACAACCTGCTCTGTATTACAGCTGTGAGAGAGTGAGTTGTATCAGCTCAGTTTAACAAATGGTTTATCTTTCAGGTGTTGACGGTCAAAACTGCAACAGAGTGACTCACACTGACCGGAGCATCTGTGCCTTCAAAGGATCATCAGTGGACATTTCCTGCATGTACAGCAGTTATGAATCTATCACTGACGGATTCTGGTTCAGTCCTGAGCGTTATCATCAGTGGCAGAATCCCTCAGAACCTGAGGACCTTAGTAAAGACTCCCAGTATGCAGGTCGTGTTCAGATCCTTGAAACATGGAGAGGACGCTCCACTCTGAGGATCTCTGACCTGAGAGACTCAGATTCAGCTCAGTATCTCTTCAAGTTCAAAACACCAAGCTTTGAATGGAGGAGTGATTTACCTGGTACAACTCTGACTGTCACAGGTACTGATCAACACTCACTGATGTTATATACAGCATACCAGTAATTAAAGTGTAAGGTAGCTGTTATAATGTAGATTGTCATTTACAACTCTCTATCCATTCATGTTTATCTTATTTTAGACTTTGTACCCTTGATTTGGGTATTTGATAAATAACAAACACTTTTTTTATCCTCAAAAATCCAGATCTGAAGGTGCAGGTGCAGGGGGTGAAATCATCTTCATGGTCTGTGCTCCAGTGTTACACCAGTTGTCGCCTGCCACAAGGTTCTTCCTACATCTGGTATGAGAATGGGCTGAAAATTGCAAAAGAAACATTCTCTTCATATTCAGTCTACTTTGGTTTTGCATCCAGCTACTCATGCGCTGTGCAAGGACATGAGGATTTCCCCTCTCCTCCAGTGTGTGAGTGTTTCCCTCTGACATGGCCCTCTGGTGGAGCTTGTAGGTTATTGCACTTTACCTTCAAAGCTTTTAATTCAGTTGCAGCTGGTCATCCGAAATAGCTGAGACTCAGAAGAAAGTTCTTAGTTCTTCTATGACTTTTTAGTCACTTACTATTAAATAGTTTTTTATGGCAAACTGTACTGTGACTTTTTATGAGATTTTCTATGGAATATTATAACATAATTTGATTGACTTCTATGTGACATACTATACTTTTCATGACACGTTTAAATGTTACTTTATTGTGAAACAACCAACCAAATACTTTTACAGTAGATAACCCAATATCAACAATCTCAAAATCGCCTCAGCTGGCTTTACAGTGATAACAGCATGTTTATTTAAAAAAATTGTGCACACACTTCTGTTTGCCATTGTTTGAATGTGCCCTAATTAACAAACGTTTTTTTGCCAAAACAAATTCACGAAGAACATTTTAAATTGTTTTGTTTTTCAGGTGTCACTGGTCAAACCTGTAACAGAGTAATTTACACTGAGAGAAGCATCTGCGCCTTAAAAGGATCATCAGTGGACATTTCCTGCACGTACAACAGTTATAAAGTATATGTTAAATCTAAATTCTGGTTCAGACCTGAGCGTAGTCATCAGGGACAGAATCCCTCTCAACCTGAGGACCTTAGTGAAGACTCCCAGTATGCAAGTCGTGTTCAGATCCTTGAAACAGAGAGAGGACGCTCCACTCTGAGGATCTCTGACCTGAGAGACTCAGATTCAGCTCAGTATCGCTTCAAATTCAAAACACCAAACTTTGAATGGGGGAGTGATTTACCTGGAACAACTCTGACTGTCACAGGTACTGATCAACACACACTGATGTTCACAGCAGCAGCAGTTTCATTCAAATAACTACAACTTTTGTACCACTTTCCTAAGAATTTGGTAGAAGGGTTTTATAACTATTGGCTTTTACCATGGTTTTAAATGTCTTTACAAATGTTGTGTACATATGCAATTGAACATAAAGATAGCCTTTGGGTTACCAGGCTTTAATAACAATGCTTTGTTTATTTTAAATAATAGCTCACTGTAGATTATTAGGAAAATTATCTCAATTAATCAGAGGAAGAAGAATCAAGTTATGTACAGTATTTAAGACAAAATAGTAACACCACATTGTAAACATTTTATGTTACAAGTAACATTCATTTGTTACTTAAATAAAAGTAAGAAAGCTATTAGCATAGCTATTTGGTTAGCAAATAGCTTTTCAATGTATTAGCATCACAATCTACTTAAAGGGGACCTATCATGCTAAATGCACTTTTGTACGTCTTGTATACATGAATATGTGTCCCCGGTGTTCCAGGGAACTCACAAAGTGTCAGAAAACACAACCCTCTCTATTTTCCTCCATACCCAAATCTCTAAAAAAGGGGCTGCAACGGATCTGATAAAAACTGATCCAGATTTGAACACTTTCCTGACGTCAGGACAGTGGCGCTACAGCTATTGGGCCAACTCCACCAATCAGGAGGAGACAACCACCGCATTGTTCGAAAGCGCTGGAGACATTGTAGTACATATGCCAGGCCTCTAGATGGTGCTGTTGCTCACAGAATCAACCCTTGCTAAAACAGATCTAAAAAATGTCAAATTGAGCAAAATGAGGCATGGCTAAAATGCATGATCTGTTTGGTATTTTGAAAAACAAAAAGTATAAATATGCCTTCTATAGGTATGGTCCTACACTATATTATTCAAATATAGCATGATAGGTCCACTTTAAAGCATGCTGTACAGTGAAATAGTCACAAGCTTGTTCATTTACTTATTATAACATTTCTAAAATAAAGAATGTTTGCAAAACAAAAGTTCTCATGATTGGCTCATAGCTGAGCTACTCAAGATTTAAAACATGTGAACACTTGGCAAATTAGTATAAAAAAATGATAACAACTCAAGTTTATATTAAACCATAACAAAAGTTTGAATGATTCCCGTCGCTAACCTTCATTACATCTTCTGTTTGTGGTATATATCCTGAGTTTAGATTTATATCTGTTCTTTTTTTGTGTCTGAAAGTATGTCACTTACAACCTTAAAGGTTATCACATTTGATTTGTAATGTTAAACATATCCAGCTCTGCAGGTGCAGGTGATCAGATCAACAGTCCACCAGTCATACACCTATGCAGAGCTGAAGTGTCACAGCAGCTGCAGTCCAGCTGGTGTTTCCTACGTCTGGTTCAAGAACAACGAGAAAATCATCAAAGAGGAAAGATCTTTATATGAAGACCAGTTTTATCCTGGAGACATCATCTCTTGTGCTTTGAAAGGACACGAGAATTACAGCTCTCCTTTGCTATGTGAGTTTGCTCCACTGTGTAATTAAGATAAATATTTATATTGAACGACATAACAGAGACGCATTAAGGAATCAACCTCCAGATACATTGCACCTAACATTTGCCTCACAAAATTGTTGTTTTTTACTCCAGATGCTCTGAAGTTTCCTGTTGTGTCAGTAAGTCCTTCTGATGAAATCATGGAGGGCAGTTCAGTGACTCTGACCTGTTGCAGTGATGCTAACCCAGCAGCTAACTACACCTGGTACAAGGAGAATGGAAATCAGAAACTTCCTCCTCTCACTACAGAACCAAAGCTTTTCTTCAGCTCCATCCATGTTTCTGACTCTGGACAGTATTTCTGTGCAGCTGAGAACGAGCTGGGGAAACGGACATCTGAAATGAACTCTATTGATGTGAAATGTGAGGAAATACAGTTTATCAATGATAATTGTCATGTTTTAATCACTTGAAAAGGGTCTTTCAGGGTTCTCATACTTCAATTTCACATTCTGCTAATTTTGAGACCCTTGATGGAGAGATGTTTTCCTGATGAGCTGGGTGCAATCTTTTCATTAATCTTGCAAACTAATCTCCTGCAGATGCTCCAAAGCTCCCCTCTGTGTCAGTAAGTCCCTCTGCTGAGATAGAGGAGGGCAGTTCAGTGACTCTGACCTGTAGCAGTAATGCTAACCCAGCAGCTAAATACACCTGGTACAAGGAGAACCAAACACTGTTTCAGGGAACAGAAGGAAGTTATCATGTCACCTCCATCAGCTCTGAGGACAGCGGGATCTACTACTGCAAGTCTGGGAATCAATATGGAGAGATCAACTCTACGTCTCTGTTTGTAGATGTCCAGTGTGAGTAATAAACAACAGCAATTCTCTTATGCTAACACTGTATTTATAAGTAGGGATTCGTTGGTTGCTTTGTGCCATTGTGGAGGTAGAGTCTGGTTCACAACATGTGTAATTATTAATACATTTCTCTCCTAATCGTCCTCCAGATGCTCCAAAGCTCCCCTCTGTGTCAGTGAGTCCCTCTGCTGAGATAGAGGAGGGCAGTTCAGTGACTCTGACCTGTAGCAGTGATGCTAACCCAGCAGCTAACTACACCTGGTACAAGAAGAATGAAGACTCTCCAAAAGCTTCAGGACAGATCTTCAACATCACTGACTTCAGAGCTGAACACAGTGGGAGTTATTACTGTGAAGCCCAGAACAAGTTAGGACGTCAAAACTCCACCTTACATCAGATTGTTTTGACTGGTAGGTTTCATTCACTTACACACACCAAACTAATATGCGGTAAATACCGTTAAACACCCTCTGATGCACAGACGTAAACATTTCATGTGCCAATGCTCAGACCACGTCTACTCTAAGATAAGCAAAGGTCTTTCAAGGTCCGAGGAAAATGCCACGCATATATAAAGGACTAATCAAACTGACAAGACAAATCTGGAGAAGTCAGGCAAACACAAAAGAACATCAAAAAGATCACATACATGGAAAGAATCAGGGTGGGACAGACAATCACACATGCGGGAAAACACTAAGACAAAACATAAGGAGAGAATACATTTAAAAATAAAACAGGACACAAAATTATAATAATAATAATAATAATAATAATAAATGGAATTTATAAAGCGCCTTTCACGGGACCCAAGGTCGCTGTACATGGTGGACAGACAAGACAAAACAGACAATGAGGAGCGAACAAAACAAGAACAAAATAAAATAAAATAAAGGAAGCCAGGGGACCAGGAAAGGACTAGGGTCAGAAGGCCATGGTGAACAGGTGCGTTTTTAGTGAGAATTTGAAGATGTCCAGGGAGGCAGCGTTCCGGATCTCAGGAGGAAGTGCATTCCAGAGGGTGGGGGCCGCAACACTGAACGCCCTGTCACCCACAGTACGAAGGCGAGAGCGGGGGATGGAGAGCAGGCCCGTGTCGGAGGACCGCAGACTCCGAGAAGGGGTGTAGGGATGGAGGAGGTCCGATAAGTACTGGGGGGCGAGGGTATGGAGGGACTTGTACGTGAGGAGGAGTGTTTTATAGTGAATCCGGGACTTGACCGGCAGCCAGTGCAGGTGGATGAGGGTGGGGGTGATGTGTTGCCATGGCTTAGTGCGGGTGAGAAGCCTGGCGGCAGAGTTCTGGACGTATTGGAGCCTGGCCAGGGTTTTGCTGGGAACCCCGGACAGGACTCCATTGCAGTAGTCCAGACGGGATGTGATGAAGGCGTGTACGAGTGTTTCTGCCACTGAGTCAGAGAGTGAGGGGCGGAGTCTGGCAATGTTTTTGAGATGGTAGAAGGCGGATTTGTTAATAGATTTGATATGCGCCTGGAAAGAGAGGGTGGAGTCCAGGATGACTCCCAGGTTGCGGACTTCAGTGGACGGGGAGATGGAGCAGCCGTCAATGGTGAGAAGCAGGTCACCAACCTTCTGGAGCTGTGCCTTGGGAGCCACAATGATGAGCACAGTTTTGTTGCTGTTTATTTTTAGCAGGTTTGATGACATCCAGTTTTTGATGTCCTGGAGGCAGTTGACAAGGGAAAGAGGTGGAAATCTTTTGAAAATACACAAACAAAAAAGGTTTTTCTGAGCTCTGTTTCTGATCATGCTCAATATTTTTTGAAAAGGTATTGAATGGTAAGATCTAGGTTTTTCTTTTCATATTATATTCATGAAAGCTTTAATAACTGCTTTTTGTGTTTTTTTCGTCTTATCATAGGAGCATTGAAATCTAGAGCTGCTGGAATCACCACTGCTGTTGTTCTGACAGTCATCCTCCTCTCTATATTTGTATTGATTAGGTAAGCAGTCCACTTTCATTAAGGTAATGTTTAGTGAAAGCACTAAACATGGTATGCTGGATACTTTTGATAATATTGGGCAATCAAATATGTAAATTAGGACAACACTGTAAAGTTATACCTCATTTCAATCTCTTCCTCTTCTTCAAACTCACTGTCAGACTGAATTTTCAGAAATGTGATCCTCATATCCTATTAAAGATTAGTTAGGGAGGCTGTGGCGCAGTGGGATAGCGCTGGTTACACTCCCACTGCAGTCAATTTATCGTAATTGGATACTTCACCCCAAATTGCACCTGTGGAGATTGTCCACAGTATTGAGAGTATGTAAGTTGCTTTGGATAAAAGCATCTAACAAGTGAAATGTCATGTAATGTAATGTTTATCGCAAGATGGAGGGTTACGTGTGGGAATGTGAAAGCAGAAAGGAGTTTGGTCTTGAAATGTAACAATGAGTCTGAGTTTCTTTTATGAAAACAGGTCCCACAATCAGGAACACCATGAAATAGTTCAAACGTGTGTGTTTGTATAATTTAGTGCTTTCCAGAAGTCAGCAATTATCTTGGATATTTGACTGCATTGTGTTATTAGGAAAGGATAATGACCAATACAAATACCCAGGTTTCATGAAAAATATTGTCTTCATTAACTGTTAAGCCCTAGAGCCCCCTGGACAGGGGGCAGTGGGGTGTTTCTTCACGAAACTGTGTCTCAGGGCTTCTTAATATTTAAAAACCTATTAATGTGTCATACCCATTTAACGGGAAGAAACTCAGCTAACTGACAATATGAACCATTTTTACCGAAACAAAACACAAGTCTCACAAGAAGCGTCTAAATGAGCCCTGAGCGAAAAAATGCTAACACACTTAGCACAGAACTCAAGGTAAAAATACCCTTATTACTTATCATAACTGCAAAAACAAGATATCAGATTAAAGCTGAGATGCCACAGATTCTATAGGTATTGGTATCATCACTGAGCGATGAGAACTCGTGACAGGGGAAGCAAACAGACGTCATAACACGTAGCATTACGGAACATTCACGGGAGATCGTCTCAAATTAGCTGTTATTCTGATCAATAGTCGTGTTCAATGGCATTAAAATGATAAAAACGCTGCTGAAGGTTAATCCATAGGTTAATCCAATGTGTCTGTGTCACTTTGAAAGGATTACTGATAATCCATCATTACATTTTTATGTAAAAAACGGAGATTTCATATTATTTTTCTTTTTCTAAATCTCTCTAAAGAGGTCAAATGTCACTTGTTTTGCATCAATCTTGATACAGGGTACTTATTATATGTTGTACATTGGATTCCTAAAGCTTTTAGTCTACTAACCCATCATCCAAGGGTGGTTTTCACTATAAGTAATGGGTTTTATTTGGGCGGAGGTAAGAATTTACCTTTTTTTACAATGTTCCATCTGAATTTACTCTGACACAGAAACATCTATATTGATTCTGACACTTCTACATCCAACTCACAGATGTAACCTTGCTTTGAGAAAAAAGATTATTAATTTAACCCTTTTAGAAGTGAAGTTATAGTCATTTGTTCTGGGCATGTCATTTTTGAGCCTAAGACCTGAAAAAAAGGCTCAGGGCTTAACCTGTTACGCACCGCCCCCCCCCCCCCGGTACCGGGCGGATAAACGCGTCATTTGCAGGAAACAACGTCTAAGGAATCTTAATATTTAATAAACTATGAATGTTTTATATCCATGTAACGGGAAGAAACTCAGCTAACTGATCTTTTTAATTTTTTTTTCCAAAAAAAACCCACAATGCTAACACTCAGCCTCTGAATTATCCACGAGCGAAAAAATGTAACCTAAAACTGCACCTAAACTCACTCATAACTCCCTTATTACTTATCCTAGATGCAAAGCCAAACCGTCGTTTTGCATCTCCTGGAGACACAGAATCTGGGGGTGCCCACCTCAACACTCAGTGATAAACATTTGCGACGCTATAAACGAAAACGTACATCAAAACATGTACCGCTAAGTAGCTACAAACGCTAACATGGCTTACCTTGGTCAAAACTGGTCTTCAATGGCATTAAAACGATAAAAAAAACTATGCTGCAGTTAATCCATAGGTTAATCCAATGTGTCTGTGTCCTCTTTGAAATGATTTCTGATAATCCATAAGCAATAAAACTGCTTTTTATTTTCCAAATGTCAGAGCGAGAGATCGCTTCACTCTGGTGCAAGCCTGCATGCGGGAAGCCCCCACCGTTTGTTTTCACAACGAGTGTGTGTGGGGGACTCCCCCTTCGATTCTATTGGCTCTAACGGTCAGAAAGAGGTGTCAACCATCAAAATCGACGTAGGGGGACCAGAGATATGACAAAAAAAAACCTTTTCACCCAAATCACCTCAGAGGTGGAGTGGTTTTGGCTAAACCTCTCTAAAAAGGTCAAATGTTACTTGTTTTGCATCAATCTTGATACAGGGTACTTATTATATGTTGTACTTTGGATTCCTAAAGCTTTTAGTCTACTAACCCATCATCCAAGGGTAGTTTTCACTATCTGTAAAAAATAATCTTTGGACGGACACTATAATTTACAGTTTTTTACTATGTAAAATCTGAATTTTCTTTCAAATAAAAAACATCTATATTGATTCTGACTTTTCTACATCAAACTCACAGGTTTATCATTACTTTGAGAAAAAAGATTATTAATTTAACCCTTTTAGAAGGGAAGATATGGTCATTTGTTCTGGGAATGGCATTTTCGAGCCTGAGACCTGAAAAACAGGCTCAGAGCTTAACAGGTTAACAGGTTCAGTTTAGATAGATAGATAGATAGATAGATCGTACTTTATTGATCCCAAATTGGGAAATTGTTTTTGTTACAGCAGCATAAAAGGCATTTTACAATAAAACAAAATATACAAGAATAGAAATAAAATAAAATAAAATATAAAATAAAATATAAAATATACATGTCAAAATACAAAATAGAAAATATACATACAGATATTATATATATATATATATATATATACAAATATATATATATTCAAAATATATGGAATTATGGAGTATTAAATATGAAACAGATTATGTGTGAGTAAAATGTACAAGGTGGTTTTATTTCTAGAGAAACTATGGAGCAGAGAGTTCTCTTCCAGCCAGAGGTGATTTGTTGTACAGAGTTATTGCAGTGGGCAGGAATGTTTTCCAGTATCTGTCCTTGTGACAGGGGAGCTGCAGCAGTCTGTTGGAGAAGGAGCTCCTGTCTGTCCAGCTGCAGGTGGAGAGGATGGGTGGGGTTATCCATGATGGACAACAGCCTGTTCAGTGTCCTCCTCTCCACCACAGCTTCAAAGGGTTCCAGCTTGATGCCGATGACTGACCCAGCTTTCCTGATCAGTTTATTGATCCTGCTGGTGTCACCGGCTCTGATGCTGCCCCCCCAGCAGACCGCAGCAAAGAAGAGTGCACTAGCCACCACAGACTGATAGAAGATCTCCAGCATCTTACTGCATACGTTGAAGGATCTCAGCTTCCTCAGAAAATAGAGTCTGCTCATCCCCTTCTTGTACACAGCGTCAGTGTTGATCCTCCAGTTCAGCCCATTGTCTAAGTGCACTCCCAGGTACTTGTAGACCTCCACAACTGCCACATCCTCTCCCAGAATGCACAGGGGCAGAGGAGGAGATGTCCTCTTCCTCCTGAAATCAATGACCATCTCTCTGGTCTTGGCCACATTCAAAAGCAGATGATTTCTTCCAGTCCACTCAACAAAATCACCCACCAGCGCTCTGTACTCCTCCTCCCGTCCATCCCTTATACACCCTACCACTGCAGAGTCATCCGAAAACTTCTGCAGGTGGCATGACTCTGAGTTGTATAGAAAGTCAGAGGTGTATAAGGTGAACAGGAAAGGAGACAGCACAGTCCCCTGTGGGGCTCCAATACTACCAACCACCACATCAGACAGCACACTGCCCAGCCGGACGTACTGTGGTCTGTCCGTGAGGTAGTTGGTAATCCAGGAGATGGTGGACGAGTTTACCCTCATAGCCTGCAGCTTGTCACTCAGTAGCCGAGGCTGGATCGTGTTGAATGCACTGGAGAAATCAAAAAAGGTGATTCTCACAGTGCAACCCGATCCATTCAGGTATGAGTGAGCACGCTGCAGCAGGTAAATAATGGCATCGTCCACCCCCAGGTGAGGCTGGTAGGCAAATTGCAGAGGGTCAAGGAATGATCTCACCTGCGGTCTGAGATGGGCCAAGACCAGTCTCTCAAGCACCTTCATCACATGAGATGTGAGTGCTACAGGGCGATAGTCATTGAGCCCAGAAGGAGTTGTCTTTTTAGGGACCGGAACAACGCATGATGTCTTCCACAGCACCGGGATGGTCTCCAAGTGCAGGCTCAGGTTGAATATATACTGGAGAACAGGAGCCAGCTGGCGTGCACAGGTCCTCAGGACCCTGGGGCTGATACCATCAGGGCCAGTAGCCTTGCCTTGGTGGAGTTTTTCCATCTGACTCTGGACCTGTCCTGTGCTCACAGTGAAGCGGGGGGGGGGACTTGATGGCAGGGGGGATAGAGGGGGGGGGGTCTGAGGCAAGATGAGCAGAGGGGGGGGGGGGGGGTCAGCGGCAATGTGAGCAGAGGGGGGGTGCAGAAGCCAGGCTGGGTGGTGGAGGAGAGGTGTGAAGTGTAGGTGGTGAGCAGAGGGGGGATGTTGACGCCAGGCTGAGAGGAGGAGGTGAGGTGAGAAGAGGAAGTGGAGGAGACAGCAGCGGGCGGAGAGCTAAACCTATTGAAGAAGGTGTTCAGCTCGTTGGCCCTCTCCAGGGTGCCCACAGTCAGTCTGTCTCTCCCTTTGAAGCCAGTGATAGCCTTCATCCCAGCCCAGACATCCCTGCTATTGTTCTGCTGGAGCTTAGTCTCCAGCTTCTTCCTGTACGAATCTCTGCCCCTCCTCAAATTGTCTCTCAGTTGATGCTGGATACTCTTCAGCATTGATTTGTCCCCAGACTTAAACGCTTCCTTTTTCTTATTTAAAAGAGTTTTCAGGTCACTAGTAATCCAGGGTTTATTATTGGGGAAACAGTTGACAGTTTTAGCCGGTAATATTGTTTGTTCACAGAAGTTGATGTATTCTGTGATGCAGTCAGTCATATTATTGATGTCCTCTCCATGTGGCACACAAAGCACGTCCCAGTCAGTGGTCTCGAAGCAGTCCTGTAGAGCCTCATTAGCCCCTGGAGTCCATTTCCTCACAGTCCTGGTGGATACAGGCTGCCTCTGCACCAGAGGGACATATTTAGGAGCCAAAAAGACGAGGTTGTGGTCAGATCTGCCCAGGGGGGGGAGGGCAGTGGCACAATATGCATTCTTGGTATTTGCATATAGAAGATCCAGAGTATTATTTCCCCTGGTGGGGCATTTCACATACTGAGTGAATGTAGGCAGAGATTTGTCCAGTTTTGCACGGTTAAAATCCCCAGTTATTGTTATGAATGCATTTGGGTGAAGAGTTTGGAGTTTGGCCACAGAGGAGTGAATGACGTCACCAGCCACCTCCGCGTCCGCGTTCGGTGGAATATAGACAGCAACTACGATGACAGAATAAAGTTCTCTAGGTAGATAAAATGGACGTAATCCCACAGCTAGCAGTTCAATGTCCGGGCTACAGAAACGCTCCTTCACAGTAACATGTCCAGGATTACACCATCGTTCGTTCACATACAGTGCAATCCCTCCTCCTTTCTTTTTACCGCTCAGAATAACGTCCCTGTCCGCCCGAACACTCGTGAAGCCGGGGAGAGCCGTGTTATTATCCGGGATGAGCGAGTGCAACCAAGTCTCGGTAAAACACATGATGCTACACTCACGGTATTCCCACTGCGTCTTCGTCAGCACGCGGAGCTCGTCCATCTTATTCCCCAAAGACCTCACGTTCCCCATTATGATGGCCGGTACACAGGGTTTGTACCTCATCTTCTTCTTCATCCTCAGCTTGGCCCCAGCTCTGCAGCCCCGCTTGAGCCTCCGAAGCTCCTCCGGGATGTCATGCCTGGCTCCGGGCAGCAGCACGGGTCGGCACAGCGCAATCAGCTGCTCACGCGTGTAAACAATGCCATCACTCCTCTGAGCATGGCTCTCCGACACAAAAAGTGAAAAAAGTAGCAGAAGAATGACCAGAAAACGTTCGAAGTAAAACGTGGCCATAGTTCGCTGCAAAACAAAATAAATATCCAAAGAAAAAAGTACAACTAAGAGAATAAAAGTAAACAAAAAGACAAAGATCAATAAAACACCGGGAGCTGCATGCAACAGGCAGCCACCAGCACGGCGCCTTACGCAAAAGATTAGCACATTTAGCACATTTCTAAAAGTTCAATGTTTAATTATTCTAACCAGGAAGAAGAAAGCTGCCAAGCCATCATCTGAACCCGGAGAGCCACCGGACAACAGCAAACAGGTGAGAAGGAATAATTATCAATAAAAGCAAAAAAGGTTTCAACAGTTCAGTTCAGATATATATTTTTTTTTGCACTACTGATTACTGGTAATATTTGCATTAATTATGTTTCCTGTAGATGTTTGATTGCTCTTTTTACTGCACTTTTAGTTTACAGTTTTGCTGTTATGCTGCTGTGTTTGTTGTATTTTTGTGGCTCTGGCACAACAATTTCCTTCGGGATGAATAAAGTCTTATCTTATCTTATCTTATCTTTTCGCTGGGCTACACAAAAGCTCTTTATGTCTTAAAAGATGCATTAAAAGTAGAAAAAGAGTCCCAGAGGGTCAACTGGCACGAGTCTACATTTAGTTTTGTTGGTCCAATCAGGACTTGAATCAGCAATTGTTCCGTTCCCAAGCCAACACACTGAGCTACTGCTGCTCCAAGACAGAGCTTCAAGTAAAGTTCAAGATTGTTTTAGGGACCATTGGGTATTCTTAACCTTCACATATTCCCTCGCAACACAGACCCAAACCCTTTTAAGGTAATCTTGTCTATGCAATATCTGCCCTTCAGAGTCCTCAGGAGGAGCTTCTCTATGCCAGTGTCCAGTTCTCCAAAAACCAGGCAGATCCTCTCTCCTCCAACATCGAGGATAGTGTTGTGTACGCTGAGGTCAAATTTAACAGCGCTGCCCCGAGGTGAGTAGATACTCTCACAGGAACATTACCCTGAGTTTAACGATGAAATGACTTGGAATACAATCAACACCTGTTCACTTTTGCATCTGCCTGATGTGATTTTACTAGTTTTACAACCACTGTTTGGCCATTTGTACGATATGTAATCTGCAAAACTCCTAAATAAATGTTTCTCTTTGAAAAACAGAAGTCAGATGTCTGCCATAAAGGACTCAACTGCATTGTACAGCACAATCAACAAAACCACGACACAGTAGGAATCTACAGCCCATCATTTTTATTAAAGGGACCCTATTGGGTTTTCCCTTCACTGTAGTGTGTTCTCTAGGTTTGTGTGCATGTAAATGGTCTGCAAAGGCTAACATCCATGTGTTCCCTCCAGAGGGAGTTTCTCCATTGGACTCCTTTGTTTACTTCCTTAACATCGTGACATCCCTATGGAACACTCTGGCTCCTATTGGCTTCTTTCTGAGAAGATATATGACTTTAGCGTGTTGTTGAGTTTGAGCCTGGGTTGGCTCTAATGACTATGTAGCTTATTTAATGCCTTTTATTGTAAACATAATATATGTATATTAAATGGCCTATTTAATGAAATGTACAGAAGCAAGGACACACTTTTTAAACCTTTTATTTGTTCTCTGGATTGGTGTTTAAGCACTGAGTGGATACATAATACTCTATAAATCATTATTCAGAGGGAATTAGAGACACCCAAATAGCTTTTACTTTCCATTTTTACCAAAAAGATAGCAATGTAACTAACTTATTAACTTGTAAAAACATGAGACAACCTTTCAATTTGAAATAAAGAGTATACAGACCAATGTGTTTTTCTATATCATGTTGTACTTAAACCTTTGTCAACAGTACGTTTTATTTGAGCTCTTGTTATGTTAGGCATACTCCTTTGTTTTGTAAAATAAACCATTGAATAAAAGCTATAATAATGAAGCTGTTTGGTGATGTTTTATTAATTTGTGCCAGCTATCGTATTTAGTCTTTCCTTTTTCAGTTTCTTTGATGTGAAAAGTAATATTGCAAACTTTCCCTTGTCTCTTT